GATCCGAACCCTCGGCGGGAGCGCCGCCGCGCTTCCAAGCAGCGCACTGTAGCAGTGCGCCCCTGGGCCGGCCCCAACAGGGAATTTTTTTAAAAGGAAAAGGAAAATTAGAAAAAGGAAACTCGTATAAGGAGAGGTAGAAATATTCCTACCACTAGACCAGTTTTTGGCTTTGTCTGACCTGATGATCAAGGTTGCTCTAGGAGCCATCTCCAAGGCTGGGGCTGGGGACAACTCTGCCATGTCAGGCACTGCCTTTTGTCATCATTTCTTACACTTCTTACCCTTTCCATTTGTTTGCACATACTTCTCCTACTTCCACCTGTTTCTCATCCAGAAGGATCATGGAAGCAACATTTTAGAGGTGTCAGAGATATATAGAAGAGGCTTCTGGTCCCCAGCATCACTCTCTCCCACAAATCAACCGATTTACAACTATTAAAAAGCAACGACAGCCAAGCTGGGGCCACTAGAGCTCAAGGGAAGAGGAGGAGAGACCTACAGAGTGCATGAAGGTGGGAGAAGCCACAATGAGAGAAAGAAAAAAACTGCTCTAACCATTTCATGCTACGGTTGCTTTAAGGCTGGAGCCACTGAGGGCACAGAGCAGGAGACAGCAAAAAGCTACATCTGTGTCCTTCAGATGAAGTTGCTTGGAGGTGGCAGGGGAGAAGAGGGCCTTGGCAGCCCCCCGGCCAGCAGTACCACCAACAGGGTTCCCGTGGACCCACATAGGACCAAGGAGCTACAAAAACTGAAAAAAGGAGCCACTCAGAGGCTGGTGAGTCATTGCAAGGGACTGGAGCACAGCCTGTCTCATGTGAGGTGTTTGGAGCACAGGTGGTGGGGGAGACAGACCCACCAGAGGAACACTAGCACAGAGCAAGGACAGCTGATCTGCCACCCAATCAGTGCAGGACCACTCAGAGGAGACTGGTCAGAAATATAGAATTGCATGGGGTGCAGTTTGATGAAAAGGCTCAGGCCCAGACCAGTGTTTCTATACAACCCAGGTGCATCAGATTTCACCAGATCCAGAAGTACCTATAAAGTCAACGATTAAAACTGAGCTGCACAAAAATCCTTCTCTAGGGAATCAGCAGCAAAGCAGCAATTTAGCTCAACCACAGAGCTCAAGTGCTGGTCCCCACAGGAAGTTCCCCCATTTTAGAAGTAAGCAAAGGACAACAAATTAGTTCCAGCGCAGAGTTTGAGTGGTGGGAACGGCAAATAATCCAACACAGAACTGAAAGAAAAAACAAAGTACCCACAACCAGAGACAAAGTTTGATAACTAGCAAAGGTCTCATTTCACCAAAGAACACCTGTAACACGTAGAAGGACTGGAAGTCCCCTGGGCTACCAAGCCAGGAAGTGGGAAGGGCTGAGGGCCTCAGCCATGGCCCCTGACACCTGCAACCAGTCCCAAGGACAGGGGCATTGGGCCTCGGCCACCATCCTCCTGCCACAAGTGGAACCACCCCAGCGGCAACCACTGAGCCACCATAGGAAAAGCTCTGGGCTCTCCCAAGCTGGAGTGGCAGGGGGCTCAGGGTCTCGACCACGCCACCCCCATGCTAAACCAGCCCAGTGACAACCAGCAAGCCTCAGCAAGAAGGTCTCTGGGTTCCTGAGCTGGGGTGGTGGGGGGTGAGGGCTGTTGCCACACCCCCTGGACATGTGCACCCAGCACGGCAATGACCAAGCCATTGCTGGAAGCCCCCCGGTCTCCCCTGTGGGAATGAGGGGGTTGCCACAGGCCTCAATCCCACTCCTCCTCCTTCCTCCTTCTTCCATCACGTTTCCTTCCCCTTTCCCCTCTCCCTCTCCCTCCCAACTGCTCTACAACATCCTAGAATGTAAAAAAAAAAAAAAAAATTAAAAAAAATTGCTATACAAGTATTTGATAAACAAAACAAATCTAAATCATCTAAAAAAAAAAGATGTCAGAGCCTCACCAACTGGGCCCTAAATGAATGTGTGGAGTGGAGCACCTCCTCCACCTGGAAACTATGTTATCCTGTTTATGTGAGTGAAGAATAATCTTGTATTATGCTCGTGCCATTGAGCATTTTGAGGCCTACATGTTATACCAATTAGCCCAATCCACCTAATTCAAAATGTAAAATACAAATCATCTAAAATCCCAACAAATTAATTTTTTTAGAGGATAGAACAAAAAATTAAAATAAAGCTTTTATAGCAAAAAAAACTTGTTACATCAAGAGTTTTTAATTGCTCTTACTTCTTTTCCTATTTTGCGTGCCCCGAATATCCACAGGATCTAGAAAGTAAAAGAAAACAAAACCAGTAATCCATACTGTATAAATCTTGTGACTATTTACATTGTAGACAGGGTTTGGGCTCTAATGACACTATGATGATTATTTCTGTCTCTTCCTATCTAAAGAAAGAAATCACTACCAAATGGAGCAGGAACCCACAAGTTTTTAGCCCTAAAATCAAAGATGTTTTGAAAACCAATATTTTTCATGGGTTTGCAGCTAACTAACTTAGGAACAAATCCAGCAAGGAATTTTTTAAAAGGAAAAAGAAAATTGGAAAAGACAAGCTCGTTTAAGGAGGGGTAGAAATATTTCTACCACCAGTTCATTTTTTGGCTTATTTGACCTGTTGGTCAAGGTTGCTCCAGGAGCCATCCCCAAGGCTGGGGCTGAGGACAACCTGGCAATGAATCTGGACTTGAGCTGCCATTAGTCCATGTAAAATCTTACCACGTTTGGTATAAATATTCATAAAAGTTGCTGCAGAAATATTAATATAGTATATTTGAGAATGGCATTCTGCCCCAGACTGTATTGGAGTGTTTTGTAATATAAAGACAACCATATTGTCTTTCTAAGAAATAAAACATGTTTGAATTCTGAAATACATCTGGTTTCAAAGATTTTTAATGAGGGATTAGGAATGTTTGCCAGGAGTCTAGGCTATTAGTCCTGCCTCTCCCTGTGATTTTCCATATGCGATAAGTAAAAGATCCTTAAATGTCTATGTGCTGGAGTCCCCCCATCTGTGAAATGGGGGAACAATATTAATCTTGTCTACCTTCTAAGTTGTTGTAAAGATAAAAGGAGATCTTATTTGTGGAGATCTTTTCAAATATCACTATTTGGCCAATGTCATGTTGGGGGTCATCTGTCAAAACCTATGAATTGAATTTGATGGAAATAACCAGAAGCCTTTCTTTCTGTCGACAGTTAGAGTATAACCAGGGCCTTTTACATTTTAAACAAGTTTGCAACAAAATCAAGCAATAGCGGATGATCCTGCTTTCTCTCTCTATAAAACAGGGAATGGGCAGAAGTGAAAACCAATGCTCTGGCAGTATGTAGTAAAAAGGGCACTGCCATTTAACTACAGCTATCTTTTAAAGCCTGAATTTATAATAATTTCTTTCTTTGCATTTTACCCAGAAAAGGTATATGCAGAGAATGGGCTCCTAGGGCTAACTGGACCGTGGCTGCGGTGCGTGCTCAGAGTAAAACGCACAGGAAACAGGAGCTGAGCCAGACTGTTCTCACCCTGCTCACCATGCTTACTTCTCAGTGCTGAGTTGCAGGGTCCTGGGATCAACTCACTGTCCGTGGATTCTGAAGAGTCCTCGTTATATCTCATCCCTGCAGAAAGGAGCAAATGTTCCTTGGAGATCTCAGTGTATGACAAGGGAACCAAGACAAGATGATTCTATAAAAAGAAACCTAGGAAAAACTTGAGAAGCTCCAAAATCCCAGGGCAAGAATGTCCCTGCTTTCTGACCTTCATGATCTGCCTTTTGAATTTATGAGACCTGTAGGTTAGTATTTGAGTATTTTATCTGTCATTGTCACCGGAGCCTGAGAAAATTTCTCCCGCTGTGGGCACCTCTGCTTTGTCTTGGCCCTCTGTCTTCTTACACTGCATTATCTTTCTTTTTTGACTTGTCCCTGTTTAGATTTGTTGTTGCTGTTGCTGTTGTTTTATCTGTAGTTGCATTTATTTATAGCTTTGCTTCTCTTTCAGGGTAACCATGGAGGTCTGGTATTAAAGAAGGCAGATCTTCTACCTGGCTGCTTCCTGAATGACAAGTTGAGACAGGGCAAACCCCTCTCCCACTTAAAAATCCTTGGAATGTGTACTTGAGAAAAAAACTAAACTTCTGTTAACAACAACAACAACAACAAACTTCTATTGTGTTTGAGTTATTGACTTCTTTGGGTTTATATGGTACAGCAGTTAGCCTACTTAATTAATACAAAAGTTAAAATATGAACCATCTAAAATTAAAGCAAACTTGTATTTTACTTAGAAAGATATAGCAAAGAATCAGAATGAAGCTTTTGCAGAAAATACTGCTCACTCACAACCACGAAGATTCATATTTTCTCTTACCTCTTTTCCTAAAGCTTTTAAAGTACATAAATGATTCTGAAATCGTTGGAGAAAAGTGTTATTGTATGCAAAAGATTTACAAATTCTATGACAACTCACACAGCAAATGGGATTGCAATCATAATGAAGTTTCAATGAGCATTTTCCTCTTTCCTTTTACTAAATTGAGTTCTGAAGGCCCAGACTCATAATGCTGGGATCCTGCCTGGCTCTTCTTTAATCTCCATGTAAATTAGTAAATGACTCTTAACCATTACCAGCTCTGGTTTTCTCATCTATAAAGCTGAGTTAACCTAGTTACCCTTAATGTTAAGGCTTTCATGATGACAAAATGAAGCTTTTTTTTACAAAAGCCCTATGAAAAAAATCACAAAGTAAGCCAATGGTTTAATTATAATTTGGATTTGGGTGTAGTTGATCTGAAGTTATTTTTCCCCATCAATAATTAAATAGCACAAATTATTCTTTGAAGATTGCTAAGCTTGTGTCTAAAGATGATATTATCAAGAAACAGAGAAAAACCGTGCTTACTACGCCCTGTAAAAATATAAAGGGTGATGGTAGAGAATAAGTACATGATTTCAGCTCTTTAGCATTAATAAGTATGTAGTGTATGGTAAAAAAGACTATCACTTTACTAGCATATTTTTGCTGTTATCAATGTATCAATTGATTTGACCATCCAGTTAAACAGTTTATAACGCCTTCTTGACACCTTCCCTCTTCCAATAGGACCAGAGAGATTAATGCTCAAAATGGTATCGCAGAAGTTATAAAACCAAGGAATATGGAGAATACTCAGAATAAAATTAATCAGGAACACAGAGCTCTGAATTTGGACTCTGGGTATTCTGTAGTCCAGGGAGGGGTTTCAATTCTAACATTCTTACCTGATGCAGTCTGGGGTAGTATGTAAGTATCTTCTAGGTCCTCTTCTCCCTCACTTGATTGCCAAGAGTTATAGTTATTGATCACTGCACAAAAGAATAGGATTCTTTAGGGGTCTTTGTGTGTGACCAAGGAACAAATTCAGTAGGAAATACCTTAATAAAAAAACCTGGAAAAAACTTGAAAACCCATGCAAATCCTGGCCTGCACCCAGTCTTCCCTTCCAAGTTACCCGCCTTGTAGGTTAGTGATGCTCCATTCTTGTCCCCAAAGGCAGAGACAATTCACTGGCCAGGGGCACCTTTGCTTTGCTTAACCTTTGCCTTTCTACACTCCTCTCCTTCACGTCTTATCCTTTCTCCTTGTCATTCCACATTTCCTTTCTCTCCATGTTTGTTTTTCATGCAAGGAAACCTTGAAAAATCTTGGGGACAGTGTTAAGGACAGGAAACCTCTTCTATCCACCACCCTGGTGCCTCCTTGAACTGTTTACAAGGCTGAGAAATAATCTCCTGTGTTGGAGTCATACGTATATTTGGGGATTGTTTTTTAGAGCAGTTTGCCTACATTAAGATAAAAGTTAGAGTTTGCAATGTCTAGAAACCAAAGCAAGTTTACATTTTACTTTAGAAGATACAGTGAGCAATTAGAACAAATCTTTTATTTAAAATATTGTTCTTTTGTGACATCAAGACCAGGTAACATTTTCATTTGCTCTCAGGTCTTGTTCTAGTGTGTTTTCCCTAAAGAGGCCTGTTTCTAATATCCCCTAGATCTAGAAAGTAAAAAGAGAAAACAAATCACTAATGTGTACATTAAAGACTTACAAATCTTATGACAACTCATGCTGCAGATAGGATTGAGAAAGTACAACATTTTGATAATCATTTCTATCTCTCATTTTACACAGGAAATGGCTCAGAATCCAGGATGCCAGTTTTGTCTTCCCTTCTCCACGTGACTTTGCAGAAGACCTTGAAACATTTATGTGAGTGGGTTTCCTCATCTTAGGAAACAAGGACAACGTCTATCCTGCTTATCCTTTAAGGTTGTTGTAAAGAAGAAAATAAGATATTATTTGCAAATGACTTTTGAAAAACCACTATATATGCTGTGGCTTGCTGAAGAACTCCATCAAAAACAATGCTTTGGGTTTGAGAATACTTTATCTCGAGTCTCTATTTCTGCTAACACTAGATAGCTGGATGAGTTGTCTTCTGACCCTATTCAAAGTTTGTGATCAGATGCAATACGATCTTCCAACAAAGGAATATTTAGCTTCCTCTCCTCTATAGAAATCATTGTATAAATCTAACACTTTATAGGCATAGCAATTAGTTTGTTTAAAATATAAACTTATCACTTTGCTAGCCTATTTCTACTTATATAACCAAAGTATGGGTACATATATTGATTAATAGGATCCATCAATTTTTAAGCCTAATCCTCAAAAATACATTTATAATAATTTCTTCTCTCCTAGAATTTCCCAAGAGGGTCAAGTAAAATAAATGCAGAGAATGGGAACCCAGAATAAACCGGGTTCATCATACAGAATGGGCTCAAAATAAAATGCATCAGGAAACGGCAGCTCTTAATTCGGAATCCCGCAGCCCAAGCGCTGCTCCCTCAGCCTTCCTTACCGGGCTCACTTGGCAGTGCTGAGGTGGAGGCTTTGGGGGGCTCTTCTCCGTCACTGGGTCCTTCAGAGTCCTCACTGCTGATGACTGCACAAAAGAGCAAAACCCGTTAAGGGTCTCTGGGTGTGACCAAAGGATCCTCACAGCAGGAAATCCCACAATAAGAGCACTAGGAAGACCTGGGAAGCTGAGTTATCTCAAGGCCCTGGTCTGTCTTTGAGTGTGTGTGACCTGCAGATTGTTCCAGGTCCCAAAGGAAAAGCTGATGAAATTTACACATAGGGGGCAGCTTTGCCCACCCTGCTGACCCTCTTCCTACCCTCATGCCCATTCTACTGACCCCTCATTCCACTTCTTTTCCCCACCCTCATTTGAGCTCTTTATTTCACTCTCATGTTGCTTCTCAACGTTCCTCTTAGCTCTGCCCATTTCCCCTGCTTCTGCCTCTGTTTCGGGCGATGGTATCTCTTTATACCCCTGTTTGTCTTGATGTGTTTCTTTCTCTATCTCTTCTCGTGAATATCTTGGTTCCCTGTTTTTTTTTTTTTTTCCTTTTCTTTAACTCCTACCTCCATGCTTTCCTCTCTTCCTTTAGAAATAGTCTCTCTGACATCAATACTTCCTACCTCCATTTCTGTCTTGGTATTTTCCCAATTCCTAAGGATTTTCTTCTGTTAAGCTGAAGGCTCCCTGCATCAGGTGCTGGTCCCCTCCCCTTCCTGCCTCCATCTCAGGCTACCTGGACTATCTCGATGGGCCCTGATGAAATGCCCAAGCCCCTTGCCTGTGAGACAGAGTTGCAAATTCTTTCAGACAGCCTTACCTATTATGTCAGATGCTAGGTTGTGTTTAACCCGTGCTTGGGCTTGCTGCTCAGCTGGGTACGAAGTTGGTGGTTCCTTCTTTATATCCACCAGAAGCACAGAACAAGAATTTATTTGGACTCCGTGGCTGGGTAGCTCTGCCCCTGGGTCAAATTGTAATGAATGAAGAGTTTTCATTTCTTTCCAGTGAGCTCCCTTTATTACCATTAATAACTCCCTCTCCCTGCAATTTCATTGTTGGGGGTAAAGCTTCATCCCCACCCCCTCTTTTGTTCTGCTTCTCAACTCTGTCCCTTCCTTTGTGCCTCTCTTGACTCTGTTCTATTCTTTACCTTTGCCTTTACTTATTTTTCTTATCCTTTGATAGATGTTTTTAAAAATAAAAATTATAATTTCAGTATAACATACATAGAAAAAAGTGGGGTTTTAAATGATCTCAAAGTAAGCATATTACCTTGGTCAAGAAATGGAAGATTGCCAATACCCAAGAAGCATCTTAGTGACATCTCCCACTACCTGTCTCCACCGTCTTGCTCAGAGTCATCCACCACTTTGACTTCACCACCTAGATTAATTTTTCCTGTTATGTAATTTATATTAATGGAATTATGTTCTCTTTTCTCTCTTGATATATATACATATTTCCAAAAGAAGCCAAATCCCCCCAAAACTTTATATATATATATATGTAGCACTCAACATGTTTGTGCGAGTTATCTACATTCATTTTGCATAATTATTTTCAGTGCTGCGCAGTATTCCATTATAGAAATAAGCCATAAAGCATTTATCCATTTGTATTGTTTCAAGTATTCGGCTTTTCTGAATTATGCTGCTATCCATTCTTTTCTATGTGTTTTGATGAAAATAATATGCATTTCTTTTGATTTCTGCTGAGGAATGTAGTTGCTGAGTTCTAGAGTATGCACATTTTCAACTTTGGAAGATTACACTAAACTGTTTTCCAAAAGCATATGTAAAGGCAGAGGTGGAAGAGAGAGAGCTTGGCAAATTCAAGTAACTAAAGGATGTTTGGTGTGGTGGGAATGTGGCGTGGGGTGAGAGGCAGGTGGTGGGGAATGCAGCTGCATGGTGGGCATCTGTCAATATACTCCACCAAGGAGCCTTGACCCAATGCTGAGGCCACAGGAAGCCACTGGGTTTTAAATAGGACAACCAGATGAACTGCTTTGCAGTTCTGAAAGGTCCATTCAGCTGAAATGAAGAGAATGGATGTAAGGGGAGCAAGATAGGAGGGACAAGGCCAGACAGGAAACTGTTCCTCTAGTTTAAGTGAGAGTGATAGGAATCTGGACTAGAGTGGTCAGGCTGGTGATGGAGAGAAATGAACAAGTTGGAGAAATTTTAAAGTTGGAATTGACAGAAGAGGCAAATAAAATGATGATAGTTTTCAGCCACTAAATTTGGTGATGGTTTGTTATATTACACAGCGATAGATAACTGATATATCCTCCAAACACAGAAGTCCTTCAGATCTTCAAATAAAGGTCTCCAGGCACTTGTAGAAATGAGCCTAGAGGGCAGGTCTGGGCTCGTGATGTATGTTTAGGAATCAATAAATCCTGCATGCTGATTGGCCATGGAGAGGATGAAATGCCTGAGGAGAGGCTTATCGTAATCTGAGGGGGGCACAGGGGTCATTTTGATAAAGGGACAGCTTACACTTCTCAATGATAATAGGGACAACCCTGTGCCTATTTTCAGGTGACTGTTTCCTAAAATCAGACAACCTCTTGATTTGTCTTCTCTTTCCCTCACTTTATCTGGCCCACTCTCTACCAATTTTTTATTTATTATCTTTTAACTTGTTCTTTACATAGTTCTCTTTGTATCTCCCTCCATTTTCCCTGTTTCTTATTTATTTCCTTCTGTATCTTACTTTATTCATACTTTTTCTGTGCATTTTTAAAAATCACTGTCTCTCAGGTCCAAAATTAGGGTGATGCAAAAGTGCCCCCTCGAGCATAATATTTAAGGACATGCTCAGTCTCAGGTGCTGAGAGTGAGATCCTCCTTACATGCTGCGCCCTGGGGCCTCCCTACCTCACCTAATGCCAGCCCTGCTGTCACCACCTGATCTTTCCATTGATTTATGTCTGTTAACATTTCCTACCTGTTCCTACTCTGTCTTTGTTTCTCAGTTATTAATGTGACTTCTGCATGCCTCTTATATATCACTTTTTCTTTCTTCATTTTCCTCATCTCAAACATTCCAGTCTGGGTCTCCCCCAGTGCCACTATCCATCACACTAGAGTCCCTCCAGCTGCAGTTCCTTCCTGAAGGTCCTTCACCTGGGCTTCCTTCCTTACAAAGCTGATAGGCAGCATCACCCATGATTTCCATGCTTCCATTACAACTTCTTAAGAGTAAGTTGCAAGTTATTTCTTTTTACCAATCTCACAACAGGGCAATGTTTGGATTCCATGTCAATTTATCTAAAATCTGTCTCACTCGTGTACTCTGTTATTCAGCATTCCCTAGTTGACTTTTTCTGTATTCTGTTTCCTTGTATTATATATCCAGGCATACCCCCTCACTTAAAGAGAGCACCTCTCTTTCTCTCTTGCATCTCACACCTGTTAAAAGCAGCCAGAGGCTGTGCACAAAGGCTGCACGTCTTGGGTAGGGGTAGACAGTTGATATGGGAAACAGAGGAAAATTTTTACTTTCACAGAAAAAAAGATATAATTAGAAAATTGGGGATGAGCAAGATGGTTGAATAAGTCTCTCCAGCACTCACTCCTGCCCCAGAAACATCAATGTGAACAACTGTCCATACACGAAAATACCTTTACAAAAGCTAAGGAAACCAGGTGAGAAATCACAATACCTGCTATAGCACAGAAATAAGAAAAAATGTATTGGAGAGGGCAGGGAGGACAGGTTTTTTTTTTTTTTTTTTTTTTTTTTTTTTTTTTTTTTTTTTTTTG